CAACAACGAATGTCATTAAATGGAACTACCTTCTTTTTTGTATCATGGTTGGCGCTATCATAAAGTCACATAGCAGGCAGCCAAAAAGCATATAAATACCAAAACTCGAAAAATGTTTGTTTGTTTGTTTACAAAAATTGTTTTGTGATCATATGTTTTCATGTTGGATAATTTTTGCTGACTAAAATTTTGCCAGTACAAAATGAACGCTTCTCTTGCATCAAAATGAACGCTTGCTCTCCCAATTTTTGTGTGTTGGATAATTTTTTGTCGTTATCGAACGCCTTACAGTAAAAATTTGGAAAACTATTACAAATTTTTGACTTGTCGAACGCACCTAAACGCAAACGCAAAAAAAACAGGAAATAAAAAGTTTAACGGAAAAGCGCAGAATAATGCAAAAACCCAACAAACATTTAGGTTTGAGCTCAACTTTTTTCACTTGATAATTAAAAATTCGTTTCTCTATCACTTTTTACGTATCTGCGCGACGGTTAGAGATGAGTTGGAGAAAGATGTTGGATATCAACTTGAGAACTATGAATTTCTCCAAGGTTGGAGAAATATTTTTTTGGTGTTCATTGGGAAGTTAAATATGTATGCAGTGTTGCCACGATTCGATTTTTTCCCTTCCCAGGGCTGCTTTAAACCCTTCGTGTTCCGAAACCCACCACAGCGTTACGCTATTGTGGGCTCCCAGATAGAACCTCCAAATGACCCCAAGAACTCCACTTTTCATGCTTATGGCCGTACGTATTGGGCAGTCGTACAGTGCTTCAGCAGGCCTCTTTTTCAATCAGAATAAACAAAGGAGGAATGCTTGTAATGACACCAAGGTGCGCATAGCTTAAGGTGACCAGAATTTTTTACCATTCCAGGAGGACGGAGAATTTTGAAAACCCAAAAAATGTCTTTTATAGTTATTTTAACACATAAATAACGAATAAGTTACCATTGTGAAAAAAAGTGTTGGTAAACACAAGCCAAACAAGTTATAGCGCTCTTGCACGATGTGTATTTGCATATGTAAATACTACTTTTCTGGTGCGTTCATACGAGTAGATACAAAAAAGTAGCATTTACATATGCAAATACATACATATTACATATTGTTTTTAGTTGACAGTGTTATTCATTTTATTCAATATAAATTGAAATATGAATTGAAATTCTCATTTTAAGTAGTCTGTCAAGTGGCATCTTTTTTCGTACACATTTTAATTCTAGTGGAAACATTAAATCCACAGGCAAACGCTTTATCTTGGTCATGTTATTAGACAATATATATATTGTCAATGGAGACAGCATATTGCTCATGGAAAGCAATAGATATCAGAGCTTTATAATGGCCCGTCTCCGCAGGAAAAAGTTTTTGCCTACCAACTGTCATTTTTATTGCCTGATATAAATTTTACCAGAGGCAAAATTTTATGCGTGCGCATTTTTTATCTTGATAAAAGCATTTGTTAGATGGATATTTTTGCCGGATTTAATCGTTTAAAAAAGTTATAAAATATGCTATTTCACATCCAAGTACATAGTAATAATTATTTGAATAGAAAACAGCTAACTTTTTGCTTTTATATTAAAATATCAATAATGTTGCCGCCACGAATGAAAATGTAGCTGTCAAAGTATCAAATTGCTGGCAATATTTATCAAGATAAAAGCTCTGATAACTATCGCTTGCAGCGAGCAATATGCCGTCTCCACTGGCAAAATTTTGCCTGATAACATTATCAAGATAAATACTTTTGCCTTTGGACACAGCAAGTAATCTTCATAAATATTGCCAGCCCTGAACTGTCAGTTAATTTGACAACCAGATTTTAATTTCCGCGAAAACTTAGTGGCGGTTGTTTTTTTAGTATGGTAGACAAATTTAACTGTTTTCTATTGGATAACGCAGGTCTCTGAAATCTAATTTTTTCCCTTTCCAATAATTATGTTTTTTTTTTTATATCTAGGTGTACTAAATTAAATACATCTTTGGTTCTTTTCCAGTACGTCAAATTTTATTTTTATTGACGACATGCACCTACATGCTACAATCTTTAGCAATTTGCATGAAAAGCCAAAAATTAATTAACTTAGAATAGAATTTTTACTTAAAACCCAATAGTATTAGTAATAATACTCATAAAGAGACTAAGTCAATCAGAAGGAAATATGTAATTACGCTAGTAATGCACGGTAATGCTAAGATGAATTATAAAAGTTATTTTCTCGTACAATTTTCGTGATGCTATTTTTTATTATATATTTGGTAGTGTGGTGTATCTATACGTAGCCAAATCGCTAATTAGTTTTTTGCACAAATACGTTTTGTGATTGGATGAAAAGAGAAGGCATGCTCCTGATGTTTACACTTGTTATAATTATAACTCCTCTTATAGATTTACGTTCTTTAGTTGAATCAAAAGCTTACATCATTTAACTGAAACTTGAACAATGTAAACGCCTTTTAATTAAAATGATTGTGTACGATTAGGAAATAATAGTATTCTGCACGAAATTTCTTTAAATCTTCATCGCTGCTATAAAACTTGAAAAGGAGGACAAGGAGGAAATTTTTGCTTAAAAGGAGGACAGAGGAGGACAAAATTTTTGAGGAAGACAACTCACGCTTGAGGAGGGCAATCCTCCTCAAAGGCGGACGGTTGGCCAGCTTAGTTATAGGAGCTATCCATTACTTTTTGCATTCCCAGACATTACCTTTTAACAAAAAAAATTAAGGTTAAATGACTTCCCACAATTTTTATAGCAATGCCATGTTATTATGTTATTAAGGTAACACCTTAACTGGAGAACTAGAAAGAAAAGAGGTAGTACGCTGAATCAGGAGCTTTAATGGAATAGTACATATTTCAGATGAGTAAACACTTGCATACCTTTTACGTAGATCTATATGTATGCATATTGCATTTAACTGCATAATTGAGAGAATTTTACATACAGACATAAATATGTACATTAGACTGCATCACTCCCCATACAAACTGTACTGTTTTCCCACCGGAATTCTAAAATCTGTTATGTTTCAGGACTTTCACCGAAAGATTTCCCAAAAATATTGCGATTTACGTGAGCTGGACCAATTCGAAAATGCCTCCAAAAATTTAGTTTTTTTTATGAATATAAACAGTTTTTTTTAAGTATTTTTTGCAAAAAGTCACCTGAGACGACAAAACAGTTTAAGCTTAAGAAATTTGCATAAATATATTTTAAAAAAATTTCAACGGAATCACAATAATGATATTTTTGATACTGTTTGTTGAACTTTTTTCAAATACTGGTTTAAAAAACTTGAATAACTCAGCCTAAACTTTACCGATTCAGCCATATGAAAAAATATCATAGGAAAGGAATTTTCTCACCCTTTTTATTTCTTTGCAAATAAGCTCATTCAAAGCATGAAAGAGAAAGTTAAAAGAAACGAGCCTCATTCCATGTGTTGGTATTTGATAAAGAAAAAATTGGGACGTAAATGAGTTTTATTGTAAAGGTTTTAAAAAGGGTGAGAAAACTTTTTTTTGGTGATGCAGTCTAATGTACATATGTGCATATGTATGTGAAAATCCACTCTGTATGCCTAAGTAAATAAATATTCGTAAAACTGAAATTTCGTCGCAAGGTAAACATGCCTTATCAGGCCCGTTTACTTTTGAGGTCATTAGGCTTTCTGAACAATCTGAGATTTGCAGTAGCCTGGGGCTTGAAATTTTCGCATTCAAAATTTAGTTTATTAACAACTCATTGAGCAGCATGTATTGCCTTAAATTTGGTTTTTCAATTTTCATTATCCTCATTTTGGCTACGATTGCCTACGCATTTGAAGATGAGTCTATATTTGAAGATGAAGACATATATAAACAGGCATTACCGCCAGTTCCACACACTGGCATAACAGTACCAGGTACAAAATGGTGTGGTCCTGGTAATACCGCTGCAAATTACGATGATTTGGGTACACAACGTGAAACGGACACATGTTGTCGCGCTCACGACCACTGTGAAGAGATATTAGAACCAAGGCAAACTTTATACGGACTGAACAACATGGACTTGTTTCCTATGTAAGTAAGCCTCAATAGATTGCATTAGCATTCATATGTATGTATGTATGTAAACGGGCAATAAGTAACATTTCATAAACCTGCAAATTTTCAGTTTGAAGTGCACTTGCGAGCAAACTTTCTTAAACTGCTTGCAAGCCATCAACGATATGATGTCAAATACACTGGGACGCGTCTACTTTGGCACAAGAAAGAAGTGTTTTGCTAACGGCTATCCGATTGTAAGATGCAGGCAGCATCAGAATGGGACATTTCGAAGACGTTGCATCCGATATGAAGTGGGTAAAAGACCACCGAAAATATGGCAGTTCTACGATATGCCATTTTATAGTTACGGGCGTTAGACCTTGAAAGAAATTTAAATAAATAATAAAAAGAGACTGAAAACAAGCTAATTTAAAATTTACGTTACCATCTTCTTTTTCCGGGCTTCCAGTGTTCGCATCAAGAAAGCAAAGCTGCCCTCGTAATTTTTTTTTTACATTAGTTTAAGCACTTTTTATTTACTTTACTACTTTCAATTCTTTCGTAAATTTTCACAAAAACTGTCCATGATTTAGTTTTTTATGGCACTTGCTTATTTTAATATGAATGGCAAAGAAAAATTACGCGCTTAACAAGTATACAAAAAAAACCAGAAAAAAAAACAGCTGATCTCTTATATCCTGCACACCGACAAAAAAAAATGTCATGGTATCAGGAAGTTGACTACGAACGCGTTTTTTAACAAAAGGTTTCTTCCCGTACAGCCCGAATCCGGTAATTAGAGAATAAGCGAAACATTTTCTCCCAAAAATGGAACTATGTCCAGAAGTACGGGAACGTAAAACAAAAACAGAATTTGAGAAATCGCTGATTCAAGTGGTTTTTGTTATCGATACGTCATGCAAACACTTGATTGTATTCACCATATTTACCTCAGCCGAATTTGAGACAAAATAATTTATATTTTTTTTATTTTTTACAAAGGCTCTTTTTGCTTAAACAAATGTCGAGCCAGAAAAGGTATCCATATTTTATGTACTTTTTTCAACCTCTTGTTAAAGTGGTGAGTGAATATTTCAATATGTACGATAAAGATATTTCTATTCAAAATTAGTAGATCCATTTTTTTTTTTTCAAATTACGTATACCAAATTTTTAACGGTATTTTTACGACCCAAATTCATCAATTGAGAAAAATGTATCTATTATATATACGGTGACCATCCGTCCTGTATTATACGGGACAGTCCTCTTTTTTGACCCATTATCCTGGTAAATTATTTACTTTATACGGGACGCCAAATGTTCTGTATTTCTTTTGATGCCCTATATTTGTTTCGTATTCGGTGTCTGGTATCTCGGAGCTTTAACCTCTAATTAAAATGGCATGCCTATGAGCCAGTTTTAGGGGATATTGGTATATGATTGTAATTTTCTCTATGAACAGGGCATGCATCATGTAACTTTGACACGATAGTCGTTCAGACACTGATTCATGTATTTTTCTTACTTACTATCTATCGTGTCGACTAATGTAGTGTCTTTAACAGTTTGAAAATCACTATACTAGAGTTCACTTTTTGATCGGCAGTTTTTTACAACAAACATACGGCACCGTTATGGCGCCGTTTCGCACAAACGCACAGCAAAGCAACAAAATAAACGCTAATTTTTGTCTTTCGCATTTTCGCATCAATTAGAGAACTCTACTTATATTTTTTTTTGTTAAACTTCGATATTTAAAATTTTAATAATAAATATAACAATTTTGAAAATAAATTCAAGAATTAATTTTTACCCTGGTGTGTCAATGGTGGTCTCGGGTTCAACTAATAGTGACAAGGATTTTTTCAATTTAAATTTTTTTGTTTTATAGCACATTTTTATCTGATACTTTATTGCTGAATGAAGGCTAAGTAATGTGAAGAGAACATGATTCTCTTTATAATAACGGGCGCTTAGTTATAGGATGTAGCGAGAAGTGTTGGAGATAAAATAATAGTCGTTTAATATATTAGCGAAATTTAAAGCATACTTGAATGTTTGCGATGCTTTCGGAGAACATTTCTGTTAAAAATTGCGTGCATCTTTTAACGCATCTTCTAAAAGGACTATGCAGTACTTTATAAAAAGATTTTTTTTTGCTGTAGTTAACACAAAAATCCCATAAGATACATAGGTCGTGTCAGCTGACATAGTGGCTGATTTTCATGAAGCAAGACAATCGGAAAACACGTGTGGAAATGCTGCTCTTTTGCTTCTCTTTTAAAAAATTGTCGAACATAATTTGTATGAAAATAATGCGTGGCACCGGCAACAAAAAAAAATCCAAAAATTAACGGTAAGTCTCATCGACTGCACTTTGCACTTTATTACACTAAAATTCCACGATTTTTTTACAAATTTTGCGGGGTAAAAATCTCGAGAGAAATATCCTACATATTTGTGATGTTACTATAAGAATGCTGTTTAAGATCTGTAAGTTTTTGTGAAAAAAATTGGAACATTTTTTTTGTCCCGTATTTGGCTCCCATAAATATGGTCAGCGTAATTATATATGACTCCGGACTGTGATTGATTGTGTATAAAAACTATGTCGACGGAGCTAGTACAACAGTAAAAGATATTTTTTAACAAAGATAAGAAAGGAATTTATAAAATTCCTCTAAAAAAATACCAAGGAATCCTAAATTCTTTGTAACTATTACTTGAATGACTGACGCTTGTGGGACATCGAAAATCCTTAAACTTTTTGCACTCAAAGACGAATTTCAGCCAAAACAATTAATTTCAAAGCCACAATTTTTGTGTAGTAAAATTTACACTTTCGTTTTCATTAAAAACTAAGCTGATACAATTAATCTTCATAAAAATATTTAAAAAGATTTAAAATTGTGACTCCGCCAGATAGGTCCTTGTGACTGATGTAAAATAATTACATATGTATGAAGTAAAAGTTTCTATAGACTAAAAATACAGCTTCTTTTTATTTTTTTTATTACTTTTTCGACAGATTAACGAAATGTTATCATTTAAAAACACGTTACTACTGAAAAAAGGCATTTTAAATTTATGTTGTTTTCCTCTTTTACATGGATTGATTTTTTTCGTTTAAAATTTTGTCTAACCAAAGAATGTTTTTTGTTAGAAAACTAGTCTTTACAATTTTTCTCGTGTTTCTTGTCTATTTTTCGGTTTTTATAAAATTTTTTCTCCCCTTTGGGATTTGTTAGCGTTTTCAAGAGCCTTCTCCAGCCTATTTTGCTAGTATATTTTGCTTCTTTTTTTTAAATAGATCCTAGAAATCCGTTCCCTGGTAATAACTATTAAAATTTCTTGTGTTGTCGAAAGTAATGATTGTATGATGAAAAAATTCCAAATCATCTGTTTATTCTATTTTCTTGTTTAATTGCAGAGTTAAGTTATGGCCGGTCTCGAAATCCCATTAGGCCATGTAATTGCAGGCAAAGCTTTTACGTGCATATTACTTTAGTACAGTGACTCCCAAAGTGGTCCAGGTGGACCCCCAAGGGTTCACGGGCAACTAGACGGCGGTCTACGTTGGCGTTAAAAAAATATGGGGGTCCACGAGTTGTAAGTGCGGGTCCACGACAATGTATCCTGTTTCGATAGTAAATAACCAAAATGGTTGCTTGATAGCCTCTTTATTTAACTTAAATTTTTTTGAGTGGTGTTTAGTGCACTGCTGCACGAGGCGGAAATTGCTGGCGGCAGAAATTTGAGCACTTGTGTCTATAATGCTGAGTTCCCTGAGGGGTAATGCTGGTTTAATTCCAGCACTGATCTGGGATCTTTTTCGAAGTTAATGGGGATAAACTATTTTTCGCATCACTTTAAAACTTCTTGCAAATAGCAAATTCAGGGGCGAGCCGAACATGTGAGGAGTTTATGGAGTGTTCTTAAAAAATATAACCCCAGGGCGAGATAGTACTTTGATAGCTTTACGAGCTCTGTTTTTTAAAACTTGCAAGTGTGTACTCACATTATTTTAATAAATAGAACGAAAGAAAATATTTTATATTTATTTTTGGCACTCCGAATTTATTTTTGGAACTCACGCACGCTGCGAATTTTCATATTTAGATCTAATCTTCACATTTTTTGGTGAGCTTTGGGAATAAATATGTTAGATGGGGAAGGGTCCACCGAAACCAGTAAAGTTTTGAAAGGGGTCTAAGAGAAAATAAAGTTTGGGAACCTCTGCTTTAGTACCTCTATCTATCTATACATACCTTTATACTGTAAGTAATCCCGGGATTTTCGGGATTTGTAATTTGCACTGATGGCAATAATAGAAACTCCTTTTCTTGACCAGTATTGGCTATATTTCGTTTTTAATTTAATAATTAATATTTTTTTATAAATGTCTGGCTCATTATACAAAAAATTGCGTTTTTAGTCTTTCACTCTGACGTCAGTAATCCAAAAATTATTTAAAAAATGCATAGAAATGTGCTTAGAGAAGAAGTATGGGTATAAAATTAATAAGGAAATCCTGTAGAATTTAAACAGATTCAAGTTTCTGGTGCAGAAGGGCTGGTAAATATTGAAAATGTAATTTTAAAATTTTATGCTTGAAATTTCGCAATATTTGTTTGTCAGCTTAAAAATTACCTATTCGTTCTTGTGAATCCAAAAAATTAAAATTTTTTAAATTCTAAAAAGATTTCATATTGCATTTGTTATCCATATTTTTGTTCTACATTGCATTGATTTTTCTTAGCAAGTTTTGGAATTAATCATATATCTGAAGTTATAAAGTCCTTCAAAATAAATCGTGATTTCAGAGAAAAAATAAATAAAATAAAAACGCCACTTTAAATAAAAAAGTAGGTTTCAAACCCATTTATTTATTATTTATTTCTTGGTAAGAGAGCTTCTCAAACAATATAGAAGCAATTTTTTCGATTCAAGTTGTTGAAAAGTAATGAATATTTAAATCCCGGGACCAATCCCAGGATCCCGGAATTGTGACAATGCCATCCCGAAAATCCCGAGATCGGAAAAAGCCGAAAAATTAACATCCCTACTACATACATCTTGTATTTGCTAGGGTTGGGACTATATACGTATATTCGGAGATCCGTTCAGATAGTCGATAGATACGGATAAATTACAAATATTACGGATATCCGCTTAAAATTTGTTCATTTTCTAATGCGAATATCTCGTTAATATCCGCTCATTTGATTATACGGATATTCAAAAAAGTATTTGAAAGGATTCGTAAAATTTTAGATTCCAATATCCGAATATCAGCACACTATTCGGATATCTGGATAATCGTAATTTCAGATATTCGAATATCCGGATATAACTCACGGGCCTAGTTTTTGCATCAAATTGCATGGTGGAGAAAATATTGTATTCATATCGCTCATTGACTAAGGGACTGTCATAACTCAAAAAACTTAATTTTTGAGCTAATGATGCGCAGGTACTCGTTATAGAATGCTTCATATTATTTAAAAATTTGGTGCATAATAATTATTGTATAGTTTCCGCGTGGGAAGTGAATATGCAGCTCAATGTTCTTCATTTTGCGATTAAATTGAAAACTTTAAACATGCCTCCGGAGCTATATCGTTTTTTGAGTTATGCCAGCCTTTTAGTAAATGAGCAAGATGTATGTACGTACATATGTACTTATAAAAATCCACTCTGTATGCCTAAGTAAATATTGAATGATCGTAAAACTGAAATTTCGTCGCAAGGTCATATGTCGTATTAGTCCCGCTCACGTTTAATTAGGCTTTCTGAATGATCTGAGATATATAGTTGCTTGAGACCGTGATTTTTTTGCATTCATAATTCAGTCTATTAACAATTCACTAAACAGCATGTTGTGCCTTAAATTTGGATTTCCAGTGTTCATTCTTTTGGCTACGATTGCCTGCGCATTTGAAGATGAGTCTATATTCGAAGATGAGTCTATATTCGAAGATGAAGACATAAACAATCCAGCATTACCACCACTTCCTTTCACTGGCATAACAGTACCAGGAACAAAATGGTGTGGTCCTGGTGATAGCGCTGCAGATTACGATGATTTGGGTACACAGCGTGAGACGGACACATGCTGTCGCGCTCACGACCACTGTGAAGAGATGTTAGAACCAGGGCAAACTTTATACGAACTGAACAGCACGGACTTATTCTGTATGTAAGTATGCCTCAATGGATCGCAATAGCATATGGGTGTTTCCATGAAAATTTAAACTAAAAATACAAATAAATGGATTCAAATGACTTTATAACTTTAAATTTCGTATTAAGATGGTGAAAAAAGGTTATGAAAAGGCGAAACGGTGGAGAAGTGAAAACAATTTAACAAAATATTAAATTATACGGTTTTTTTTATAATAATGTTTTACATGCAAACATTTTGTTTGCTAATCTTGTATTAAAGTATGGCTTATATTTTAGCAACCCCATTTAAATTAAAGTATGAAACTTTTTACGGACACTAATATTCGCAAAGTTTCACAAGCTAAAAATTTTTCGTAAATTTTTTTATTAAAATATGGCTTGTATTTTAGTAAACCTTATTTAAATCCAAGTGTGAAACTGTATACGAAAATTAGAAAAAATCTGCGAAGTTTCAGCAAAATTGCAAACTTTTTAATAAGAACTAAAAAAAAAAATCAGGTAAGTATGCACTTTTATAGCCCTTTAAATTTTAGAACAATAATGTGCGAATTTCTATAGATCTTATAATTAGAATTATATAATTATAATGTCGAAAAATTCGCGTTGATTTTTTAGAATTTTTTTTACAGACTGTTCTAAGCAAATTCTGAAAATACTTTATATGGACCAAATGCGTAGGACAGCCAGCGAAAAAATTCTCAAAAATCAACTCGAATTTTTAGACATTTAAAGTTTGAACATTTTTATACTAAATTTAAATAGGCTATAAAACTGCAAACCTGATTTCTGAAATTATTATTAAAAAGTTGCAATTTTGCTGAGACTTTGCAGATTTTTCCTAATTTTCGTATAGTTTTTCCTAATTTTCGTATAGTTTTAAATAAGGTTTACTAAAGTACAAGCCATATTTTAATACAAAATTTACAAAAAATTTTTAGCATGTAAATCTTTGCGAATATTAACAAAGAACAAACCGTATACTCAATTTTGTGAGTAAAAGTATATGTATTATTAGTAAAAATATTGTATATGGGTAAAATCTGTTACGTCCGTTATCACATTTTAATTTAAAGTGAAACCAACAACGATTCTGATTAAATATGAATTGGTTGTAATGGTCCGTAATTTGTCTTTATTTAAAGAATGTTTAAGAAAGGAAAACATCACAGGATTCGCACTTTTGCTAATATTTACATGAACTCTGAAACCACTGAGGTTTTTGTCACGTCCGCTATGACCTCCTTTTCATCGATTTTCCCGACACCAGTGTTCCAATCGCCCCATTTTTTTGTTGTCCTCTAAAGTACGGTATTAAAGCTACACAACGGCAATTTTTTTTTTCATAAGGGACTTCTGTTTTCGTACGATTTATTTAACCATAAATTCGTACGAATGTCACGACCGACCACTGCAGTGAAAAATTATCGGCTGTTAAAAATAACCGACTTGTAGTTAGATTTTGATAAATACCTCACTTTTAATTAGCTATGACAAAACCAACTTAAAGTGAGTTGTAAAGTCGTGCAGGAGTCATGCAGACGCAATCGGAAGGTTGTTTTCTTTATAAGTTTCTATTTAAAAATCCTCATACAAAAACTACTTTTTCTCCACTTCACAAATTCTTTTTCGAATTCAGGACAAATAAAATGAAGTTTGAAATTTTATATTATCTTTTTGATGTTAAGTCTGACGGAATTCCAATATAGGACCAACTACTGCAGAATATGTCAGAATATGCAAGGTTGAATAAAAATTAAATAAATAAAAATGTAAAAAAAAAAAATTACAATTATTGATATTTAATGTCCACAAGCAGCTAGTTGACATGTAATACAGAGGTATCCAGGTTTGACTTTTTTGCGGCCATCGCCCCTCAAAAGTAGTTAGCTTTTTTCGAACAAAATATACAGTTAGAACTAGTGTTCGCGTAAACCAACTAAAGTTAGGTATAAGCTAACGTCACTCCCTGCAGGGACATCATGGAAGCACTCATATGTACATACATACATACATACACGGTAATAAAAGACATTTTATAAACATGAACATTTTTCAGCTTGAAATGCACTTGCGAGCAAAATTTCTTAAACTGCTTGCAAGCCGCCAACGATACGATGTCAAGTACAATGGGACGCGTCTACTTTAGCGCAAGGAAAAAGTGTTTCGCTAACGGTTATCCAATTATTAGATGCCACGAATATCAGAATGGGACTTTCGTTCAACGTTGCATCCGATATGTAGTCGATAAGAAGCAACCGAAAATATGGCAGTTCTACGATATGCCGTTCTATAGTTATACGTAAATAATTTTAAATTAAGCTTACCTTTTGCTCAAAAACCTTTCTAGCTTCCAGGCTTCGCTTCAAAAAGACTAAGCTGTCCCCGTAAAATTTGTTCACATTAGTTAAATCACTTTTTATTCACTTTACTACTTTGAATTCTTTCTTCTTTGCTTTTATAAAACTTTACCAACTACTTTGAATTACTTCTTCTTTGCTTTAAATAAAACTTTACTATCACACAAAAACGCTTAAATTTTCACTCAAGTGATTATGATTGAGTTTTTGATGGAACTTGCTTATTTTAGTTTGAACGGCAAAAGAAAACGGCGGGCGCAAAAAGTACATAAACAAAATAAAAACAGCTGATCTCTTATGCTGACTACACACGAGGTAACCGTTGAGGCTACCAGTGCATGTTGCTTCGACCAAGGCGAATTTATACAAGGTGGTGTTGATGGCGAATTTAGATTTTCGCCGCGGTACTTCCCAATGTCAAAATGATGTGTTTGTTGTAGTATGAATTCGCTTTGTTTACAACAAACACATCATTTTGACATTAGGAAGTACCGCGGCGGAAATTCAGATTCGCCATCAACACCACCTTGTATAAATTCGCCTTGGCTTAGACTGTGGCCTCGTGTGTAGCATTGTT